ATATTTATTAATTAAAATATTAAAATCAATTAATAAATTGACAATTTTTTATTGTTTTTAAAAAATTAAAAAATTAATAACCTAAACATTATTATGAGTCACCGGTGACAATAAGCACCTCCATGCAAGGGAGGAAAGAAGATTAAAATACAAACAATAATTTATTTATTTATGTATGATCTTTTTTTTTTTAATAAATTATAACTTTTAAAAAAATAAGAAATTTGAACCTAACTCAAAAATTAAGAGGTGCGCCATTTAACATGATTTATAGTCATTTGGGCTAAAAGGTGAGGCGCATTTATGCATGTATTTTGATACTCCTAAGCGAAACAACAAAAATTAGAAGCTAGATAAAAGTAAGTCCTTAGGAAGGTGACACCCCTACATCTCCTTGGAGGATTTGTATTAGTCCCAAAAGCGTGTAGTCAAGGTAGGTTAGTCCTTGAGGAAGCTCGTGGCTTGAGAAACAACGTTTCATTAATTTTGATGTAAGTTAACTATGATGGATCAAAAAAAAAAATATTATTTAGTGGAATTAGTCTCCACTGAGTTTCAATTTTTATTTTAGGGTTCAAGGTCCAAAACGTTAAAATTGTGCAATGCTAAGCAAACTAAAAAATTAGTTGATAAAAGGAAGCGTGGTTAAGTAGCTTGGTACATGACGTGCTCATGACTTTACAACCCAGTGCCAATCAAGATCAATATTAGAATTGATATATAATGACGCTACGAATGATGTACAGTAGCTTTATGCAATTGATCTAAATTCTAAAGTATGATGTAAGACTTATAAATTTGATTATACGTAACTTAAATAAAATTTAAACTTAAAATTTTAATTTAAAATTTAAGGTATTAAGTTCTTTATCTTAACTATTAAGTCTAAATTGTATTGCAATTTTCAAGGTATTTGAAGAAAATTTCAATCGAAACTTCTATCGGGCCGACACTGCATTGCAATTTACAAGGTTGTCTAAGAATTTTTGAATTGAACTTGTTCAAATTTAGCGGAATAGTCGCATCCTCAAACCCACAAACCCACCTACTTCTATTTCCCTAAATTGAACTTGTTCAAACTTTTTTAATGTCACTTACCTGCCGCAACCAAAACAGTTTACTTCTTTTCTTACATTTTTATTTATTAAAAATATTTTAATAAATTTATAAAATAAATTATACTTTTAATATATAATTTATTTTATAAAACATTTTTTTATAATCTATTATTATAAAATGTGTAATGGCGATTATTATAAGATGTGTAATGGCATTTCCAATGTTATCGTATGCCGGTAGAATAAAATCTGTTAAAGGCACTTTTTTTTTCCCTGTACAAAATCATCGCACCCGCCAATTTGGCTCTACGTACCTAATGCCAAATCCTGTTTGGCCTACGGAATAAAAAAAAGTCTCTTCCAACACCAAGTCCACATCCCATTCAGTGCCCACGCTTTTAAAATTTCCAAGGTGAAGACCTTATTGTCCATTGACTCCTGCTGACCCAGTTCCCTTGTTATAGCTTCCAGGGAACATTTTTCTTCCCACCTACGTTTGTTGAAATGTTGTGTGGACCCTTTGGCCTTAATTTTACCTCTCGTTTTCGTACCATCAATTTTTTCAGATCGGGGTTGGCGTCTAGACAAACAATAGCATCTGTCTTGACTAGGATCCATGAAAAAGAAAAATGTTCGGTGTACAATGTTTTAAGCACCTTTTTTTAAGATAATATCAATATTTAAATTGTCTTGTTTGACAAATTTGATGCGTCTTTCTTACGTTGTAGTATTTGGAGTGTTCAATGGACTTTGGTTTGGACTTAGTCATCTTTTCCCATATGTGCCTGCTCTGTATTCCATCAAATGATGTAAAACTGGAAGGTTCGGGAAAGAAAACACATATAATTGAGTTTCTAATTACTAAATGTCAAACAACATTGATAGATACATGGTAACTAAATCTGACTATTTTTATCAATGAAATTGATCCCCAGTTTTTCAATTAAAAAAAAAAGGCCGATGATTTTCAAATAATTAAATATAATTTTGAAAAAGACATCAATCAATTTTTCTTTTTTTTTTTAGGTTTTTAACATTCTCTACTTTTTCTTTTAATAATACTAATTCAAATATCTATTGTACGTCCACCGAGTTTAGAATGCTTCAGATTAGTCGAGAATGAAAGGTAGTTAACCAAAAAATGGAAGTTCATGAATTCGAATTATTATTAATTTTTTTGATTGCATGAATTTGAGTTATTAACCATGCGAGTCTAGTCAAAGAAATGAGAAATTTAAAGAGGAGATTTGGAGAAATACGAGAGGAATAATAAAAGTGATTATAAAAACTGACTTGGTATGTAGCTTAATAAAAAAAAATTGAAATGAATCATTGAAAAAGTATTATGTCATTTAAATTGTTTTAGACGAGATCATTTTAATTATATATTAAATAAGAATAAATGGGTGTTTGTTTTAATTTTTTAAAATCACTTATTTATTATTAATTTTAGTTAAACAAATTAGATATTTTAAATTATAAATATTAATTATTATTAATCATCAAATATTAATTATTTTTAAAAAATTAATTTGAACAATTTATAAATGTTTTTATCAAATAATTTATATTTTAATATTTGATATAATCAAGTTATACAATAAAAAATTAATGTGTTATTTTATATATATATTTGATTATAAATTATATAAAAAAACTAATCTTTTTTTATCGAATTCAAAATTTAAATTTGATATCTTTAATTTAAAGTATCAAACGTTTAATTATTATTAAATTATCCAAATAAAGTTAACATGTTATTAAAAAAAATAAAAAATAAAAAAAAAACTATCAGGAATAAATTTGTCTAGCGACAAACAGGCCAATATATCATGGCACGAAACACGGCATGGGCAAGCGACAACCTGTGTGCTTTACAGTGTTGACACTCTGCCCTGGGCCCTGGAGATTCTCGCCGCGTTGTGTTCTCACTTCTCAGTACCCATTTATTTGACGACACCTCCACCTATCGTGTCATCTATGGTACCTTAAAAATCACCGTTCTCCAGCCAAAGGCCCACATAATCAGGTGGTGGGGATTCCTCCTATGATTACATGGTAAGGAAGGCCGTTTGAAATAGTATCCACTGATGGAAATCTAACGGTCAGAAAATTATTAAGAGGAAACTGAAAGCCTGAAAGGTGATGCATGTAATCAGTGTTCCCAGTCCCATCAGACATGGTACGGACGGCGACGTCGACGTGGGTTTGGAATCAGCGCCCACGTGTCCTTTTCCAGTTCCAGTGCTACAGTTTATACATGAACGCGTCCCCATAGAAGATGACATGTGTGAAAATAAAAAAAAAAAAAGAAGTCAAAGAACAAAGTTTTTTCTTTTAATAGATAAATAGGAAAGTGTTTTATAATTTAAAATATTATAAATTATAAAATATTAATTTTTAAATAAAAAAAATCCCTTAACATTAAAGTTTTTTTCTATTCAAATGTTTTTATTTTATATGTGATGAAATGATATGCTTTTCATTGAGTTAAAAAAAAAAATGTTATTACTTTATAATTTAAAATAATCTAAATTATAAAACAACATATTCTTAGATAAACTTTACCTTTACTTTATGAATTTTTGAAATTGAAAATGCTCCATTTGTCCATTTTATTGGTAGAAAGTCACAAAAATTTTAAATATTAATATTATTAAAATATAATATAAATTTTTTACTTTATAATTAAAAAATTACATCAAAATATAAAATAATAATTGTTATATAAAAGAACAACTATTAATAGTAAAAGATAGTTATAACAACAACTAATATTAAGAGATAGTTACCTAACTGCCTCCTAAATACAGCTGGATATAACAATTTTTTTATATAATATTACTAATATACAAGGTAAAAATAAAAAACTAAGAACATGTTTGGATTGATTTAAGGGAAGGGGAGGAAAATAAAGAATATTTTAGCCAATCAAATTAAAATGCTTGAGTTTATGACTTTGAAATCTTAATTTGTTTTAATTTTGACTTATGTACTTTTAAATTTTGTTATTTTTATTGTTTGGATTGTTTTTAATAGTGGTATTATTTTCAATTTTAACCTTGACTTTTTATTGGTAATAAGATTTAGTAATATATTAAGATGTGTCAAACTGAATAGCAACTTTTGATAGAAACATGGAATTCCTTTATTATTATAATGCTTTGGTAGTTTTTTTTTTTTCCCCCTTTTTTTAACCCCTACGAAATAATGCTTTGATAGTTAAGTCGTTTTCTACTATATAACAGTTTGATAATCACTGTAGCCAACAAAGTCATTGCTTGATTTGCTCTAATCACTTGGATTGCACACAATGTGCAAGCACACTGAAAATCACAGAATAGGACAACTCGTGTATTGAATAAAAAGCCAAATTATATTGTATGAGACTAAAAATGTCAGGCATTCACATTATAAGTACCGAGTCGTGATGATACTATAAGAAGTAAATGGTATACATATGTGTGTGGGGTAAAAATTTACTTTGAGCCCCTCACTTTACCAAATTTGAAAGTTTTAACTCCTTATCTTATAGTATGACACTTTTAGCACTTTACCTTACTAGATTTGTAGATTTTAACCCCTCATCTATTAAAATCGAAGAAAATAACCCTTATTTTATATTGAAGAAAATAACCCTTATTTTATATTGACTATTAACTCTATTAAGTAAAAGTAGATTTTTGTCAACTAATAACCAGTTAACAGAATTAACAAAATATTATAAAGTTAGTTCTGCTAAGTTTACTAGCTGAAAGAAAGTTTTTATCAGATAACAGTAAACTAACAGTCAGTTAATAGAATTAATAGTCAGTTAATATAAATAACAAAATATTACAAAGTGAGGACTATTTTTTTTTTAATTTTAATAGATAAGAGGTTAAAAGTGTTATAGTATAAAGCGAGGGGTTCAAACCTATAAATCTAGTTAGGTAAGAGGTTAAAAGTGTTATAATATAAAATGAGGGGTTAAAACTTTCAAATTTGGTAAGGTGAGGGGCTCAAAGTAGGCTTTTGCCTATGTGTGGAAACCCATAGTCATACACTTAATATGTTAGTATTTTTTATTTAAAGTCACTAGAAATTATATAAATGTAAAATAGGACAATAATTAATGAACTTTGGTCTATAATTTGCAAGCAAATGGAGTTGTTTTGTTGCATTGCTTGCTTAACTATTCAAAAAGGCTTATATCAAAGGCTTAAGGCATGGTGGTGGCAATAAATGGTCGGATGAATAAGCAAATGTCTTGGAGCATTTTGCATGGTTAAAAGTCTGCTCTAAACTTTTTTTGGTAAAAGACCCAAAGGATCAAACATTCTGCACAAATTTGACCTTTCTCCTTTCTAATTAATTTTCCTAATTTTAGAGTAAACATCTTGAATTTGTTGTCGAGACAATTGTAATTTCATCATTACTTTCTTTCTCACAAAAAAGTTCGTTACTAATTGATGGTTTAAAGAAAGATTTAATTAAAAACCAAAAGAACATACCAAAAGTTTATAAGCTTATTTGGGTTAAATTTTTTGGGATCATATTTAATGGTTGATAGTAATTTTTAGTATTTTTTTAATGAAATGTAAAAATTCATTTATCCAATTAAACTGGTATTATACAAACTAGCAGTCAGAGTGGCTGCTACATACTGCTACATTTAATGAAATGTAAAA